TATGTCTCAGGTGCACCTCAAATGAAATTGATGATGAAAAACATTTTTTATTTTCATGTACATCATCTTTAACAAGGAAAAAACTGCATGTACTCCATGATCAACTCACTGTGTCCTAACTTTAAGCACTTGATTCCTAGCCAAAAACTAATCTGGCTACTTAATGTAGAGAATGTTGATATATTAATATCTGTTTGTGATCTGATTGATGAAGGTAAAATATAGATCTAGCTTATCTGTATCAGACAAGAGGATGGCATGGTGAGTAACCTAGCCTCACCTATAATAATAATAATGTACCTTTTTGTATTCATTTTATCATTGACAATCAGAATTATTCCCATATACATTATATTTAAGTATTTTTCTATTTTGTACTATGAAAACTTGGGCATGTCATTTAGCATCGTCCCTTGGTGCCTCTTGCAGTTGGGTCATCTTACAATATGTATCAACCCCTCTGCATCAGGAACGAGGATGACATACAAGGTTTGTGCATCTGCTCATAATATCATAACCAATTATCTATTTTACATTCATGTATACCATGTGCGTGATCTATCTCCCACCTTGCCATGCAGCACCATCCCTTGGTGGCTTTTGAGTTAAGTTAAATATCCAATACATTTCCAATTTGTTTTAGGAACTTTTTCATGTTGGGGTGTACCTGAGAAGGAGGGAAACACTGTTGAACGTATATTTATATATGTGTGTAGTTCATGATGTTATGTGTGTAGTTCATGTCTTTTCTTTGTATGTATACTAAAGACTATTGTTGTTTTATTTTGTTATTGTCTTATTAATGTCTTACATTGTACTATGCTCCTTGTCAGCCCATTTAAAGGAAATAAAACATCTTGTTCTTCTTATATTTACAAAGATCAATACATTCAACATCCGTTTCTTAATTTACAGTTTTACAAACTTGATGACTCAATAGTATACAAGTATATATAGTTGAGGGTGACCATCATTATGTACATGATCTGTTAAACATTTAGTCTCTGATTCAATCAGACACAGTACTTTCATTAACTTGTTAACCTATACATGATTCTCTAATTCTAAAATGAATGGAATTTACTCATTGCTGAAGGCCAGTTGAGTTTCTAGCATCTACAACATTTGATCTTGGGTGAGTATTTGTCTGAATTAGTCAAAAGAGAGGCGAAAGATACCAAACTCATAAGTCGTAAATAAACTGACAACGCCATCATACCACATCTAGTAATTCTATATTAAGATTTGAAAGGTAAGAATAAAGAAGAGGATAACAATTGCAACTAAAACCATGTTTAATTTTTATCAAATTCATTTCTTTACATATACATGTACTGCTATAATTATTTGACATATTTGTAAACCTAACATATTGCTGTAAAGTTGCTGAGTACGTTTTTTGTATTACTGATATTTAAGAAAATGTTTCTCTTCTTTTCTAAGTTGTCTATCAATTCTATTGATATCTACCAATCAAACAGGGACATTATTAAACTAACTATATGTTGTCCAGTACATTTTTTATACCTACTCAACTTAGTTGGAGTGGTGAAATGCCAGACTTGTAGTCTACAAAATATTTGTACTGCTATGTTATGTAACGACAAAGTTGTGAGGATTACTTAACCAAGATCGATATCCTACATGCTGCTTCCAAAAGTACAAATTGACGAAAGATGTAAAAATAAAATTAACTTATCATACTTATAATAATAAGTTTAAAGATAAAAAAAACAGGCATAATTGATGAAAGATGCATGAATATAAAAAAAATTATCATCATAATTAAGTTTTAAGATAAAAAATAGACAGTTTAATGAAAGAAAACATGTGATTTTAGTCTAATTCAAAAGATAAGGTAATTGGTTAAATGGTTTGTAAAATACATTGAAATGACACAGAAAGATAATAACGACATGTAGATAGTATATTTATACTATCATATTGAGCGAATCACACAAGGGACAATCTATTACACTTTATTTTACGTAATAATATTAAAATTATAAGATAACTGTGTGAGACAAGGTTATAACTCAGGGTTCAATGCCCAACAGGATCAAACCAAAGCCTTTAAAACTGGAATATGCTTAGTAAAATTGAGATACTGATATAATGTCTTATAATGTCTGTGGTGTTAGAATTACTGCATCTCAAGGTTTTTAGTTTTAGTACTATGATTTTGTTTGACTTTCTGTCTTTGCCGTGTTAGTTTATGGCGACTCTAGGTCTATGAGTTTTTCATACTGTGCTTGAGATACTGCATTGCTTTCTTATTTCTATGGTGTAAAAATTACTGCTTGTCATGTTGTTAAGTGTTACTGTCATAGTGTTTGTGTTGCTCAGTCTCCAGTTTTCTATGTTGTATTTTGTGTACTATAATGTTTGTCTGTTGGTCTTGCTGTGCTTGGCACCTGTCTAATGGCTGAATGGCAACCTCCAGATGTCTTTTCTTTTCTGTATCATTTGGTTGCTGTCTTACTGACCTAAATACCACACATCTACATTTATTTATATTTATTCAAACAATAATGTTTAAGATCTCTGAGAGTGATCAACAACTGGGTTGGGCAGTTAACAGTCTAGACAACAGGGAAGATAAAAACTACAGACCTAGAGGAGACAAAATAAACTTTAGGTTGATTCCCAATGACTTCACAATCAAGAGGCTCTGGAAGAGCATGTGACACATCTCACAAAATATCTTAATATCAGTATAATAACTCACCATCAATTTTTATTGTAAATTTTTTTTTTAAAAGAGTCTGAATTGCTCACTTTAAAATATTGCAATTTTATATTTATTTCTACCTTTTTAACAATTAAAATTGTTTTTTAAAAGAAGAAAATTATTTCTTTTCAAATATACAACTTTTGGAGAGCACTGAAGTTAAATCAATGGGAATAAGTTATATTCAAATGACCGTCCTCTTTGTAATAATCAAGAACTTTCAAAGACCAATGAAATGATTTTTGATCTCAAGTCACTAATGTTTCAAGTTTACTTTTTACAGTTTCTCTATATTCTTTACTGTTTCAATATAATATCCTTAAACATCAAAAGTTCTTAAAAATCACCATAAAGGGCAATAACTCTATTTTGCCGCCACTTGATGGTTTCAGTCAAACCAGCAATTTTCAAGATCTTGTATGGTAGACCCCTTCTGTAGTTTACAATTTCTGTTTGTCTATTAAACTTTTCAAGATAATAAGAAAATTTTAACACTTACCATGCTGAATTGTTTTCAGAAAATATCTAATTTTCGTTTATTTGCAAAAATATGCAAATTATATGCCAATGTGCTTTAAACTGCTGCTGAAGCATATTGATTCCTTTAAATCTAAGGTAGGGATCATGGGGCGGGGTGGTTGAGGTGAGGAAGCGGGGGTTGGTGGGCGGGAATTCGCCCCAAAGTTGGTCATCAGGTGCAAAAAGCGTCAATTTTGACGATTTTTCATCCTATTTCTTGACCCAAAAGACCGAGGGATGCTGATATAGGTATCCAGCTGTATTCTGCATGTACAGTGGACCTCAGTAAACACATTAACCCCAACAGTTCTTAGGTTGGAGTTAAACTGATCTGGGAACACCAGTTTAAAGAAGGTCATTTGGACCAAAAATACGGAATTTCACGATTTTTTCTGATTTTTGACTTCAACTGGACCTGAAACCAGAAGTAGTTGTTTCCTATGCGAATTTCAATAATAATTATGATCATTAGATATATGCCTTTGGGTTTACACTATTTTTGAAAGTTTTAGGCCTCTGAACTTCCTGTGTAAGACACCGAAGGGAAGCCCACCCCTCCAGAAAACCCAGTTTTATCCGATTTCAATTTTCCAAGTTCGTATTTGAGCTCAAAATGCAACTTAAAACATCAGAAACATGACAATAGATAGCCTCAGTGTGAGGGAACATGCATCAATTTCGAAATAAGTATCATAAAGTTGACCTCTAAAAGTATGGAGAGCCATTGGAGCCAAATAACGGTGATTTGGGTAATCCCGTCATATGACGGGCACAGCATGGTAAGGGTTAATTAAAAATTGTCATTTAAAGCCAAAAAATCCTTTAAAGAGTCATCAAATGGTTCCAGTCATATTGATGTTCTTGGAGATCTCAAATTGCTAATCAGTTTGTCTTTAACAGTTTCAATATACCAGGTATCTATAACAAGTTAAAAGGCAAAAACATGAAAATTAGCCAAAAGTCGTAATCAAAGGGAAATAACTTCCATAACGATTCGATCATACATATCCTCATAGTACCAAGCCTTGACGAAAGAACACTGAACTTCTGTCTGCTTTGTGTTTTAAAGTTTGAAATGCAAATAAAACAAAAGTTTTAGAATATAATGTGTATAGATTTTTATTTCTTTGTTTAATTTTTCTTTTTATTTAATAAATCAAATTTTTAACTGGTCGGCTTGTTACAGTGACAACCATGTTGCATATTGATATTCCAACAATAGTACACTGTAAATTAAGGTCACAGTGTCCTATATAACAGTTTATACAAATCAATTGTCCTTTGATCAATAATATATTCATTGACAGGTCACTGTGCACATTAGTATAATGGAATTAACTATCAGTGCTTATAGGTTATACCTAATGCAATGTATCACAGGTGCTCCTTGAATGAGACCAAAAATCCAATAGCAGTAAAATAGCTCTAAACAAAAGTGTTTTAGAGCTGTTTTAAAGCTATTTATATCTAAAAAGATTTTTTCAAAAAAAGAAAGTCGTTTCCACTCAGATTACAAAAATGTGAACAGCTTTTCTTTTTCAATAGCTGGAAATCTTAAGAATTAGAAATAGAAATTATAAATTAAATAGAGCGCTAAAAGTTTCAGGGTCCATTCTTACTGATAACACAGAAAAAAAAGTTTGTAAAATACACTGACACTATTATACATTGATCATATTTGTTCGACCATTATGGCAAGTTTGATTCATACTGTCATGAATAACTTTATACATTTATTTCCCGTGCCGGAGGGAGATATGAAGATTTGTTCACCCAAGAATATTCATATTTCACGAGGGCTCTGCCCGAGGGAAATATGATTTTTCGAGGGTGAGCAAATCTTCATATCTCCCGAGGCAAAGGGAAATGAATGTTTTATTCCACTGCCTATGCTTTGTTTACTATCAATACATTAAATATTATTTTACATACATTTTTTTTCTTATCCGCTTGTTTTTGTAAGTCAAACTAAACACGACATACCCATTGATAAACAATAACGATCAAAATTTAATTATAAGTCTTTTTTTTTATCGTCTGAAATAAATTTGAACATGATAATGATTTTTGCTATCGTTATTTTAAGAAGAATAAGAAGTTCAAAACGTTATGTACATTAACCGCGCGTAACGTCGCACGAAGTAATCCCGACATTTCAGAGGGGAATATGATCCTCAGAATGGAATATGAAGATTTGTTCAATGACACGTGGGATAGTCTCAACCAATCAAATATTGATTAAACTATCAATATGTTTAAACAGTGGAATAATATCATTTAGATACCTATCAGGGTTTGGCCAGGCTGGACGAAGTCTGAAACAGTCTTATTGTATGGTGATGTCAGGAGCTGGGCAGTTAGATGGACCAGGGAAAAAGTATGAACCTAATTAGTGTAATAAACTCCTCCTATATGTTCAACCTATGTCTCTAAAACCTCACAGAAAGATTGCACACATGTTGAAATAGTGCACCTGCTTATATATTGGTCTGGTGAGTGGTGGTTGGGTTTCCAGTTTTGTGTAATCAACCCCTCCTAGTGGGTGGTTGGGTGCCAGTTTTGTGTAATCAACCCCTCCTACAGTTTTCAAACCAGATCCCTGAAACTTCAGGCAGATTGCATACACGTTGAAGTTGTGAGCCTGGTATTATGGAATTGATTGACGAATTTTCCCCATTTTTCCAGACTTGGGAACTCAGCAAAATTATGAAATAAAGTACCACCAGTTCTGTGTAACCAAATTGTCCTACGGTTTCAACCTAGATCCCTGGAACTTTACAAGGATATTGCAGCTATACTATCATGGAATTAAAATTTGAGGATTTTTTCTCATTTTTCCATACTTGGGAATTTCTTCAGTAAAATTTTCAAAAGATAGTAAACATTTTTTGTTTTTTTACTCACTAGATCTTTGGAACTTCTCAGAAAGTTTGCAAACATCTTGTGGTTGTGCTCATTACATTTTAAAGTTGATTAAAGATTTTTTCACATTTTTATATTATACATTTCCATACATTTAAATGTTCATTCTCAATTGTTTTAAAGAAACATTATGCACAACCAGGCCATTTAAGTCTTTGATCTACTTTTAGTTGAAAATGATGCATTCACTCACCAGTTTAAAACCAACTTTATTTTATACACATAAAATTGAGAATGGAAACGGGGAATGTGTCAAAGAGACAACAACCCGACCAAAGAGCAGAAAATAACCCAAGGCTACCAATGGGTATTCAACACAGCGAGAAAATCCTGCACCTGGAGGCAGGCTTCAGCTGGCCCCTAAACAAAAATGTGTACTTAAATTCAGAGAAAATGGACATCACACTAAACTCTGAAGCATAGAAATGAACCAAAATAAAAAAAAAACACTTAAGACTAAAAAAAGGCCAGAGGTTCCTGACTTGGGACAGGCGCAAAAATGTGGCAGGTTTAGACATGTTTTGTGAGATCTCAACCCTCTCCCCCTATACCTCTAGCCAACGTAGAACAAACAAAGACGCAGTAAAACTCATTTTAGAAGAAGTCCAAGTCTGATGTTAGAATAGGTAACAGAAGAAACTAAGCGAAATGACAATGATCAATGCATGTCTGCCTAGGAATCAAACCAAACAGATTTCTTATGGAAAATTCCGAAAAATCAATGAATTTGACATGTTACAATGTTACTAAAACTTTGACATGTTACAATGTTACTAAAACTTTGACATGTTACAATGTTACTAAAACTTTGACATGTTACAATGTTACTAAAACTTTGACATGTTACAATGTTACTAAAACTTTGACATGTTACAATGTTACTAAAACTTTGACATGTTACAATGTTACTAAAACTTACAACACAATTTGTTCCAATATGACTTCTCCTAGGGACTTAATCAATCTATTAGCTGGGATGTTCTATGAATGTGTTTTCTGTATCATGGAAGTCACAGGCTGGTACAAAGGGGATATATGACTTGTAGATACGAAACATTTTGGTCCCAGTTAGGAACTTTATAAGAAATACTATACATTATATATCATTATATCAACTTGAACAACATACACCAACAGCCTTCTTCCCCCAAAGAGAAAACAAAACAAAAACAACAAATCAACTAAAAAACAAAAGAAATCAAAAGCAAAATAATTGGTGTTGTAACCCAACTGCACTCTTTTTTCTTTTTAAATTGTAACCCAACTGCACTCTTTTTTCTTTTTAAATTGTAACCCAACTGCACTCTTTTTTCTTTTTAAATTGTAACCCAACTGCACTCTTTTTTCTTTTTAAATTGTAACCCAACTTTTTTTTCTTTTTAAATTGTAACCCAACTTTTTTTTCTTTTTAAATTGTAACCCAACTTTTTTTTCTTTTTAAATTGTAACCCAACTGCACTCTTTTTTCTTTTTAAATTGTAACCCAACTGCAAACTTTTTCTTTTTAAATTGTAACCCAACTGCAAACTTTTTTCTTTTTAAATTGTAACCCAACTGCACTCTTTTTTTCTTTTTAAATTGTAACCCAACTGCAATCTTTTTTCTTTTTAAATTGTAACCCAACTGCAAACTTTTTTCTTTTTAAATTGTAACCCAACTGCAATCTTTTACTTTTTAAATTGTAACCATACTGCACTCTTTTCCTTTTTAAATTGTAACCCAACTTTTTTTTCTTTTTAAATTGTAACCTAACTACTTTTTCTTTTATAATTGTAACCCAACTGCAAACTTTTTCTTTTTAAATTGTAACCCAACTGCAATCTTTTCCTTTTTAAATTGTAAACCAACTGCAATCTTTTACTTTTTAAATTGTAACCATACTGCACTCTTTTCCTTTTTAAATTGTAACCCAACTTTTTTTTCTTTCTTAATTGTAACCTAACTACTTTTTCTTTTATAATTGTAACCCAACTGCAAACTTTTTCTTTTTAAATTGTAACCCAACTGCAATCTTTTCCTTTTTAAATTGTAACCCAACTGCAATCTTTTCCTTTTTAAATTGTAACCCAACTGCAATCTTTTCCATTTTAAATTGTAACCATACTGCACTCTTTTACTTTTTAAATTGTAACCCAACTGCACTCTTTTTCTTTTTAAATTGTAACCCAACTCTTTTTTCTTTTTCAATTGAAACCCTACTGCAATCTTTTTCTTTTTAAATTGTAACCCAACTGCACTCTTTTTCTTTTTAAATTGTAACCCAACTGCAATCTTTTACTTTTTAAATTGTAACCCTACTGCAATCTTTTACTTTTTAAATTGTAACCATATTGCTATCTTTTCCTTTTTATAATAACTAAATACTGCTCAGGGATACTTTCATTCAACATTGATATGTTAACAAACTCAACAGTTGTCTCATTTTAATAATGTCAAGAATGCATCATTCAATTTAGTCAAATAGACTGCATTCTAAATTATTCCGGCCTGAATATCAGACATCTTTTAATCTTTAAAATTGTCAAAGGTTCTTGACTTACATTATGTATACAATATGGTAGCTGTAAACAATATTTTAATGTTTAACATTATTTTAATGTATTTTTGGTAATAATACTTCTGTAATATAAGTTTATTTGATGGATAGATTGATAGTTTGGTCATACGTTGTAACTTTAGGCTAAATGTCTTTTTATGAAAATGTACTATAGAAATAGGTTAACACAATCTATCCTCTGTCTATGTTATGCTTTATAATATTTTTAGATTGGACAACGATCTGATTAATTTTCTGTTCCGAAAATGTTTTTAGGATCCTTGGGATTTGTCGTAATGATACATACATTCAAAATTATGGAGCCAGAAATTTAATTGATTGACATAATAATTATCAGAGCAGAAAGAAGAATGAAGCATCATGTCAGATCCTAATGTAAACAAAGCCAGAATCTGTATTTTAATCAGGTCAATATTTAACATTACAGATGCCTAGATACAATGTCCAGAAACAATAGTTTCTCTGAATGCCATCCATATAATTTCAATATTATAAAGATAAGAAATACTTCAAAATATATCTGTCACTAGCAGTCATCTAAAACTGTAGTGAAGTGCTTGTCCTTGTTTCCTTTATCATGTTATATGAATAAACTTAAGAGATGTGGGGGGTATACTCACTGAGACAGAACAAAGTAAACATAATAAACTGCTGGACCATGAATGTGATATGTCAGTCCCCAGCAATCAATATGAATTGTATTGTGAAAATTTTGAAAAATATGGATTTTTTGTTAAGTTTAACTAATCCCATAATTTATTTCCAAATTTTCTAAACATTATTCATATGACTTCTGACTTAATCAGCTTGATCTGAGCTGTAAAGTTAAGATTGAAGTCCCATAACTCTAAAACCATATAAAAAATTGTCAAAAAGTATAAGTTCAAAGTTCAAAGTTCTTAATTTTCCAATCAAGGGCCCCTGACAATAAATTAATACACAACCTCAGACCACAAATCTGAAAAATTTTGTTATGTTTGACGTAAATGGCTCCAGGCATGTTTACGTCAACCGGATGGAGGGACAGTGGTTAACCATCATACGTCCATTATTGACAAGTCTATAGGAATATAAAAATCCCAAAACCACATTTGAAGGTCATCATATGGTCTTCAACAATAGGCAAATCTGTACTATATTTCAGCTAATAAATCACCCTAAAGTCTAGGCAAGTTGTAAAGAGACTTATCACACCATTAACACTTAGTACTGAACAGATTCATTATTATTTGTGGCATATCAATCTTCTTGGATTTAGTGGGTTTAAGGAAACCATGAATTCAATTATCCACTGAAGTACAATTTTTTTCTGGCTTGTATGCAGACTTTGGCAATAACAAAATATTAACAAGCTTGCAATTTTTCCTCAGACCACAAAAATTGGTAACCAAGAAAAATAACTGAATTCACAGTAGTTAAATTCATTCAATCAGATTCATGATTGATTATTTTTACTTATACTTTATGAATAAATAGATATGTGAGGTATCTTTATGAGACAGCCATCCTGGAATGAAACAAAAAAAAAAACATCTACGATCTTCTTCATTCATTTAATTAGAATTGAGCCTTTCAGAGCTTGTGAATGGTTAGGACTTTTATAGTTGTTTAAACAGTTTTACATATTCAATACAAATGACCTTTCTGCCCTGTAATATATTTTGTCTTTTTTGTATAACTTTAAGTAATCAAACTTCTCCATACATGACCACTTTGGAGTCATGTACAACTCCTTTTCCTAGTTTTGAATCATGGTCTTTTTCTTTAATTACTTTTAAATTTGATTACAATTCCCTACTGTGTCTAGTCTATCTATGCTTTAAAATCAAACACAAGCATTTTCTTAGCAAGAAATGCATTAAAAGATCATCTTTCAATTATTTATCTTTTTATCACTCAAACATGAATATAGTACATTTTTAGAAAATAATTTGATAACACAAATATTTCCTCCTATTATAATCAGAGTTTGTGAATCTGTAATGGAAAGACTGATTTATTTTTCTATTAGACAATATGTGATATAGAACAATTAAGGGACAGCAGAAAAATTGATCATTATGTTCCTGTGACTTTTTTGTTTTAGATGTTATGGAATTTATATATTTAATTCTAAAGGGAAGATTTGAAGTATATACTGTTAAATATAGATTCTACCACTGCATCAAGTGTGATACGATATTTATCCACTCGAGACAGTTAAATTTTCAAATTTAAAACGCGAGGCTCGCTGCTCGGTGGAATCTGTTTCTCTAATGATTTTCAAACAATATGCAGGCAAACTTATTCCGTCTTTTCGAATGATCTGTAAAAAGATGTGTCGTCATCAGGCATGGTCGCCTTTTTTCATGCCGTCACAATAGGAAATTCAGAGGAAAGCAAGTAAATTCGACGTCATAATCTGATTTTAACCAATGAAGAACTGAGATTAAACAAACCACACGTTGATTAAATTTTTTTTATACAATGGGTGCAGAATGGGAAAAATTGACGAGGAATTAGAGAATTTTGAATATATCATATTGTGACTACCTGTGTTTCAAAAGTCAGTATCATACCTTTAAAAATTTATTAAGTCTAATCTTTGAAATTATTATTTACTTGCTACTGATTAAAACAGTTAATTCATTTTTTTAAAATTCTTTAGTTAAATAAACACCAGAATTATACATTCAAACTTAATCAAGAATTAGTGATCCTTTTGGCAAGAAATGTTACATTTGGGCAAGGAAGGTAACATTTGGGAATTAGGAAGGCAACATCTAGGCAAGGAATTTAACATTTAGACAAGGAAGGTTACAATTGGTCAAGAAAGGTAACATCTGGGCAAGGAAAGTTACTATATAACACCTAAATAAGGAAGGTAACAATTGGGCAAGAACGGTTACATTTACACAAATCTGTAGATTGAGATGGAGAATGTAAAACAGAATATTAGTGCATTTAAGAACCAGCTTTACACTTTTTTGTCATTTAAACAACATGGACAGGTAACTTTATTTTCCTTTTATTTCAAGCAAGAGATTTAACTAAATAATCTTTTCGAATAGTATAATCAAACTCTACCAATAAGCCCTTGTTTGATTTATAATTGAATGATTTTCCCTGTATAACATATACATATTAGATAGAACTCCATATTGCCTAAAAAAATAAGCTATGAGTATCTATTCTTTTAATTAAAATTTTGAATGACAATTTTGTTTTATCTCTATTCAAATAAATTCTAGTGTCTATTAATGTTAGCATCAATTGATCTTTAAATAACCTGTTCTTCTGTTCAATAATGCCAACCTATCTTAAACAATCATAAAGTTTAAAAAAAAAAATAGAATGTTAATACAAAATTTATTAAAAGCACTGACTTGTTAAATACAGTTAATATTCCTCACCTAAATTAAATTTTCTAGATGAATAAGAATGCACACGTTGTTGTGCTTTAAGCATGATCACCAACGGTAACTCAAAGTATTGGAAAACAGGAAGCAGGTGTCTCACAGTTCCTTAAAGTGCACACATATTACACCTCATTACTTTTAAACTACTGACCAAATATGAATTCATTGTCAAGAAATATTGGAGAAATGTGTGTCGAAAAAATTTACAATCATTTAACATACTGAAACATTCAAAGTTAGTACGGCAAACAGAAAATACCTATCTGACAGATGTAAAGTGCTCACTAAGTTGCTGACCAAATAGCAAGTCCTTCTGATCAGTAGTTCTGAGAAAAGTGTAATAAAAATATTGGTTGGACAAACAGACAGAAGAAGGGATTAATTAGGAGATTGCTATAATGAGCTTCAACTCCTGGAGTACAGGGAGGATTCAAATTTCATACAAAAAGTATGAGAATAGCCATCAAATTTTCAAAACTGACAGGACATAAAAAATTAATAATTAAATTCAAATTAGTAGATCACCATATCTTCTTATTTCTAATGTCACTGCTATGATTTCTAAGATGAAAATTTGGTACAAATGCAGAGAATTTGCCAAAGGGGTTAATGAAGAGATTAAATTTTAATCACACTAGGAGAATTAATAATAAAATATCTGTAATAAAAAAAATGAAGTGTAATATAAAGTAGAGGGTTAAACTACTCCAATATGGAATTCCCACTCCTATTATAATTTCTGTAATTTCTCAGGAAATTTGAAATATGAATAAAAAGCACAAAAAAAATCAAGCCTTATACGGTAATGCTCTTTCCTTTATAGTCCCATTTGGGATTTATTAGAAAATATGTCATTAATAAACTTGACATAAAAAAAGCTTAAATCTGGTATATCTGAAAGCTTACACATTTAAATTCAAAAGACTGTGCATTTATACCCCCCAGTGTACATTTTTAACAAGTCTTTTATTTCTTACTAAAAATTGAATGATGTGCACATTACCATGTGATTTCTGTGCAACATTCTGCAACTGCTGTCCAGGATTAATGTAAGCTTTAATGTCACGCAAGTTTCTGAATGTCAAAACAAATTTTTACTACATATTTCCATAATTATGTACTGCATATTTGTCTTCTTTATGAAACATTTTGATAAAATTTAGAATATAGATAAATAAAAAAGATGGGTATTAGGTTCCATATGTCATTAACTGAGACTGTACAAATTGGATGGCATGAAAATTGTACAAAAACAAAATTAAAATGACACTTGAGCAGTCTCTTGTGAATTGCAATAAATAAATGTATACATAAATGTCTTAATTTGCAATATTAATAGAGACATTTGAGATAAAAACATACACTATCTTAATTTACAAGTTTTTATCATAAAATTTGCTTTTCTAGAAATCATATCAACTTTGATACAAAGATGTGTATCGTCTTTGTGTAATTTGGATAGTAAATAAAAATTAAAAAAATTTCCAAATTAAAGGACCATGACTGAGCAGGAATAGGGCCAAATAATCTCCATGGAAATGCTAATCACAATTGGATACTAAATATCATTGACATAACTTAAACAGACTTAATCACAAACTTTATAACATTGGTTGACACTGACATCATTGGAAACAGCACACCTAAATCTCGCTTCCACAAATTCACTGTAAAATTTGGTTTGCTTTTCTGTTTTCAAGTTTAGAGATTTCATTCAGAAAGCAGGTTATCTCCCCTACAAATTATTGATTCCATGTATTTTTGTTCAGCAAACTTCATCCCTGATCTCATATCTGTTCTGTTCATGCTTATACCCTTCCGGAGCACCTGAGATCACCCCCAGTTTTTGGTGGGGTTCATGTTGCTCAGTCTTTAGTTTTCTATGTTGTTTTGTGTACTGTTGTTTGTCTGTTTGTCTTTTTCTTTTTTAGTCATGGCAATGACAGTTTATTTTCGACTTATGAGTTTGAATGTCCCTTTGGTATCCTTCGCCTCTCTTCTACAATACTCCATTAAATATTTAGTAAAGTAAATGCAACATAGTAATGAACAGAAAGATTATGAACTCAGTGTCACTGATTGTTTGTTGAGGAATGGAGAATATCTGCATTTATTCCAGATTCTATACCTAAAGCTTAACAGGGGCATATTTTTAAACTCCTGAAAAGGGAGGCTACTCTTGTACAGCTTATTCACTTGAAGAAGAAAACAAATGTATTTCAAGAAATGTAGACCCTTTTCAATAACTTGATATGTGAACAATTGTAAAAAGTTTCTTTCTATTTAACAATTGGTTTTCTTTTAATCACTTACTAACTGACAAATATTTGTTGGTAAATCATTTTTGAGGCCACTTATCTCCTTCAAGTAGACTTTTTATACCATATATAAACTTTATTCAGTTCTCCAAAATGTCACTGTCTAATATAATTTGCTTTGTCAAAATTTTCACCTATTGCATATGATTATAAGAAATCCATGTCATCTAAAACTAAATAAGGTCCAGTTCAAAATCCTATGTCCAAACTCCACAGTCTCTAGGATTGAACAACAGTTGATGTTAATAAAATTAGAAGTTATGAATTACAGGGACAACTGCACTTTTATGAAATCTTTTGTAAGCTTCTTTTTACCATTTCTATTTTAGTAAAACTATAAATCTGTGTCTATTCAAGCTAGCCAAATCACATAAAAATTGCAACATTTTTCTTTTATCTTTTATTTTTGATACAGGATTTAATTTAAAAATTCCAGCAGAGGCCCTTTTTCTTATAAAAGAAAATCGATTTGTAAATCTTCTACAGCTATTAATCTACATCCATTTAAATTTTGTTTATTCTTCATTCAGTTCATTGACACAAAAAAATTTCTTTGAAAATCTTAACTGTTTTATAGTGCTAGTGTAACTGCTTGTGCTATGTTTTCTTGACTAGAAATATTGTTTAGGAGCATTATCTTAAAATTAAAATATATGCAAACTTCATTTGTTGTAAAATCCTATAACTTTACATAAAGTACAAAGAAAACTTCAATCTTAACCAAAACAAAAATTGAATTTGCAATTTATCCGCCATGCATTTTAAGAATGTACATATTTTAACAGTTTTTTTTTTTTTTGTGTCACCATGAATATAAAAAAATCTTCTCAACCATAAGTCACTCATGCATAGTATGTAGTCCAATACTTTACATAGCCTTCAGGATTTAGAAGCAAACAATTAGTATAATTAGACCATGCATCTGAACAATAATACAGAATGTTGGTGCAGTTCATTTTCACTGAAACCCTAATCAGCCAATAATACTGGTGAAATTAATAAATCAAAAAGTTACTAAATTTTAACATAATTCCTTAATAAGCAATGGAGGATATAAGTGAGGGTGTAAAGGGCATACCTCTTTGAATTAAATAAGGAATTAAATATATTTATTATGATGCTAGCATAATAGCATTAAAATTATCAATGGTCTATCTTTAGTTTTTATTCACTATAAGCACATCTGTCAGAAACAAATGAATTTTTATTCATTATAAGCACATCTGTCAGAAAATATGTAAGTTTTTATTTACTATAAGCACATCTGTCAGATTCATATGAGTTTTTATTCATTATAAGCACATCTGTCAGAAAATATGTAAGTTTTTATTTACTATAAGCACATCTGTCAGAAACATATGAGTTTTTATTCATTATAAGCACATCTGTCAGAAAAATATGAATTTTTATTTATTTTAAGCACATCTGTCAGAAACATATGAGTTTTTATTTATTTTAAGCACATCTGTCAGAAAATATATGAGTTTTTATTTATTATAAGCACATCTGTCAGAAACATATGAGTTTTTATTTATTTTTAGTACATCTGTCAGAAACATATGAGTTTAATTATTCATTATAAGCACATCTGTCAGAAATATATGAGTTTTTATTTATTTTAAGCACAGCTGTCAGAAAATATATGAGTTTTTATTCATTATAAGCATATCTGTCAGAAACATATAAGTTTTTATTTATTTTAAGCACATTTGTCAGAAAATATATGAGTTTTTATTCATTATAAGCACATCTGTCAGAAACATATGAGTTTTTATTTACTATAAGCACATCGATCAGGAAACACACAGGGTTTTATTCACTTATAATATAAGCACATGTCAGAAAACACATGAGTTTTTATTTACTATTAAAGCACATCTGTCAGAAAACACATGAGTTTTAAATCACAATATAAGCACATGTCAGAAAACACATGAGTTTTTTTTTACAATAAGCACATATAAGAAAATATATGAAGAATGTGAATATTTAAGTCATTGAAGTGAAATTCAAACTAAGATCTAGGAATTATAATGCCACAGCTGTAATGCCAATTATATCAACAGTCTATTGTTAACAATTTTTTTCAAAACACACAGAAAATCTAACACTTGAACAATATTTCTTTGTAATGATGGATTGCTGTCTCATAAAGTGTATAACCCCATATGTTCATTTTTTCATATGGTCAGTGGTAGCTTTTTTTTCTAAATATGAAATAAATGGAGAATGTGTCCATGGGACACAGATGATCCCCCCAATTGCATATAACATTATAAAGAGACATGACTCAAGAACAATAAAAGTGATGCCACTTCGAAATTTAGTCTGAGTTTTGTGGTAATAAGCATAATGTGTATAAGTTTAATAACATTTAGTTGAGGCAAACTAAAGTTAGAGAACGAAAACCAATTTTGGGATGTACAGACATACGGACGAACGGACGAACAGATGGACAAGGGTAACACTTAATGCCCCTCTGCTGTTGGGGGCATAAAAAGGAATTGAGGGGATAAAACATCAATGAAACATTTGACATTATGGTATGTGCACTTAATTGATTATCTCATTGATATTTACTCACATCTCTTATTCGTGCCTCTGTGGTCTTGTGGAAGCATGATCCCCTCGAGTGATCAACATGCAGTATTAAGGAGTAAGAGCAATTGAGACTGGTCAGCTTGGGGTCAAAATAATGTGTTTAGAAGGGTTAAATGTCTTCCTGTTGCTACCTTGTAAACTACAAATTGAAAATCTGGCTTAGCATTTCAAAAAAGAACAAAGCTGTGTTCATTTTGATATCACATTATTATGATGTTCTTGTCCTGAATATGCATTTAGTTAGCTGGAGGACATTTAACAGCCATCCATTATCATCATCATCTTATTCATGCAGTTAATGTATGTGTTAGATATATCCCTGAAGGTGTTAGCCCAATGGGGGATAGCATAACCTACACCATGATGTAATTCAGATATCCTACATTTATCAGGCTCTATCCTAAATGACAGTGATTCCTCAAAAACCTCCTTTTTAAATGATTGAATTGTTTTGCATGAACTCTAATTATATTAAAAATTTCAGCATACCCAGCTTTGTATTGCAAAAAAGTAGTCACTGCTATTAAAATTATATCTAGAAATACAAAAACTCTGGAAATTCAATCAAGCATGTCCAAATTATATAATAAAATATTTTTATATAATGTCAGAAGTATCACTGAAGGGCAAATATTCAAATTTCACAAAAAGATTCACTTTTCAAAATAATTTAAGTTGCAATAATTTG